AATCTCAACCTCCCAAGTAGCTAGGTGGCCTTTTTTCTTTTTCTCTTTAGGCAGGGTCTTGCTTTGTAGCCCAGGCTGGTTTGGAACTCACCAGATAGCCCAGGTTGGCCTGGAATTCATGATTCTCCTGCTTCAGCCTCCCTGGTGCTGGGATTATAGATACCCACCATACCTGGCTTTGTAATACTTTACCAAGGAAATTTGTCTATAGACTAGCTTTTTTTTTTTTCTTTAACATTTTCTCAAATGTTTGTTTCACCAGTTGTATCTTGTCTTTAAAACAATGAAACTAATCAAGCTTATAGATGAGTAAAGGGGATAATAAAAAGAATATCCATTTACCCACCACCACCCAGCTTTGTCAAACATTTTTACTGCAATTACTTTTTGTTGAAAAATAAAATAAAATACAAAGTTGACAGCTCAAGTGACCCTCCTTAATCCCATTCCTTTCCCTCCCCAGAACTCATCTCTATTTTAATTATCACACCCAAAAATGCCTTGAGGCTGGGGGCATTGCTGAAGTGGTAGAGTTGCTGCCTGGGAAGCCTTGAGTTCAATCCTCACTACTGCCCTTCCCTCTAAAAATGCTTTTAGACTTTGAACACTTGTATGTTTTAGGTCATCAGCTACTAGACCTTTTCATAAATGTTGTGATGGGTTTGTATTGTGTCATCTTAGCTAAACTGGAACTACATTTCCCAGAATTTTCTTCCCAACATGGTTCCAGAGGACTGGTCGCAGGAGAAATCTGTGGGAGGCTCATGATGCTCAGGAAGCAGAAGGGTAAGATCCAACACCATTTCATGATAAAAGCTCTAAGAAAACTAGGAATAGAAGGAAAAAAAAAAAGAAGCAGAAGGGAAGTGGCAGCTGTGTTCACCCTGTGTATGGGAGGAAGCATTCATGGCCTATCTGCTGGCTTACCTTGCAAAAAGTTGGCTTGTAGCACCTTCAGCTCCCACCCAATCCTCAGTTTCCCCAGGAAACAATGCTTAGTTCTAGCATGAGGACATCAGATCTTCACCTGCAAACAAAGTAAGAGGCTTGGAGGAGTTAAAAAACTGAGTGTGTTAGAGTTGGTTCTTGCTTTTCCTCCTGGGTTCCAGCTTGTCCTTGCTCTCTATTTCACTTCCATCTTTCCCTCTCAAGTCCCTGCCTGCAGACTTCAGTCCTTGGATCCAGACAAAGAATGCTTTCACATAGATGAGGTAACAGTTCCTACAATTGTGCAAGGTCAAATTGTCATCATAAATCCTTTGCTCTATGTCACTACTTCTTTGGAACATGACTGATAGAGTCTGCTATGGTTCCAAGAGGAAAACGGTGAAGGGTTCTTTGAATTAGGTCTGGTTTATCTAATCAATTCTGTGATGCAATTAGATTTAAATCATAAATGACCCTTATCAGAGTTTCCCAAGTGTAAAGAGATAACTGGTACTCCATGGTATGTAATGGAGGAAAAAACTGATTTAAATCATCACCTGTAAACACTGTAATCAGACATCTATAGAGGTCAAAGCTTTCATTGACCAAAATTGGTTTAGACATACAATTATAATGAGATTGGTGGGTTGTTTCTAAGTACCCTGAAGAATTTAGGGGAAAGAATGTGATAAGAGGCTGCGGGTGTGGAGGTGCAAATCTGTAATCCCAGCACTTGGGAGGTGGAGGCAAGAAAATTGAGAATTCAAGGTTAGCCTGGGTTAGGTAGCAAGACCTGTCCCAAGGGGGTAGGAGGCAGAAAAGGCTGGCAGAGTGGCTCAAGCTGTAAGGTAAGAGTGCCTGCCTAGTTCAAACCCCAGTGCTTCGAAAGAAAGAAAAAAATCCTATTTCAAGGAACATGGAATTGTTCCACCTAAAAGTCTCCTGGTTGTCCTGTAGGGCAAATGATTTTCTCAACCTCGAAAGTCTCTTCTGTTAAAAATTAAATCTTTCAAGCTAGGCTTGCCATTTGTTGTGGGTCATGCCTGTTATTCCAGGTGGTGATTGGGAGGATCACAGTTCAAGGTCAGCCTGTGCAAAAAGTTAGTGAGACCCCCCATCTCAGCCAATAAGCTGGGAGTGATGGAGTGTCTCTGCATAAATTGTAAGATCAAAGTTCAGGTCTGCCTGAACATGAGACCCTACCTGATAAATAGCTAAAGGAAAAAGGGCTGGAAGTATGGATCAAGTGGTGAGAGTTCCTACTTAGCCAGTGTGAGGCCCAAACCCCAGCATGGAAAAAGAATTTTGTTTTACCTTCACCAAATCTGTGAGGAACATATTCATCAGAGAAGCCCTGATATCCTTGCAGAAGTCTCAAGTGTCTTTTCTTTTTAGGCTAGAAGTGACAGGGGAACTTCTGAGACTGAGCTGGGCTCCCCAAACTCAATGGAGATGAGGAGATACCAGGTTAGAAGGACCAAGCTATGGTGCTTAATCACCAAAGACAAGTTACTTGTTCTGAGAACATATGGCATAAAAGAACTGATGGCAACCCTATAATACCAGCACTTGGGAGGCTAAGTCAGAAGACTAGGAAATTTGAGGTCAAACCCTACCTGGAAAAAAAAAAATCCTGGCTGTAAAGTGCCATGAGACTGAAGAAAGAGGCACACCAGATCCAGGATTGCCCACTGCAATTTACTGGGGACTTATTCAGGGGCAATCATGGTTGCAACTCAAGATGGTTGCAGTCAGGTCAAGCTGGGTCCCTACGTTACTGTAATGGGCTTATAAAAAAATTGTAGCCATAATAGGAGGGATACAGGTTAGGCATGGGCTTAGTTATATACATGTTCATTCACCAAGGCCAATCTGGCTATGCCATTGCTGAGTTCCCAAACCTGCTAATGGCAGAGACAAACTCTAAACCCATAATATAGAAGTCAATTATCTTCTTTTTTTTTTTTTAACACCTCCCCCCTTTTATTTTGTGGTACTGGGGCTTGAACTCAGGGCCTCCACTTGCTAGGCAGGTGCTTTACCACTTGAGCCACTCCTCCAGCCCTCAACTATCTTCTTGATGGTTGATTGGTTACATAGGAAGGGACAGTGCTTTGATCTCACTGGAAAATCCAATCCCTAAGGGAATCTGAACCAAGGCTATAATTAGCTTCTCTTGGTTTATTTACATACTTAGGACCCAGCATTCCCTGCCCAGAGCATAGTAAACAGGGACCTGGGCCCACTAGGCCACCTGCCTCTCATTTAACTGAAGACAATTTCAATCTCACTTTCCAGGCTTCTAGCTGGGCTGCTCAGAGGCAGAGCCAATAGTTGCTCAAGGGGGAACAAATTTTCCCCCACCTCTCTCTGGCAGAGCAGAAGAGGCATGTTTGTGTCCCTAACAGCCAAGGACTATGGGAATAACATGGGATTGCTCTAAACCTGAGTAGTTTCAGTATTTGGAAAGACAGAAAGCCATGAGAGCCTGGGAATCAGGCTTGGAACTTCAGGATCCCACAGTCCACAATCACGGCCTCACACTCACCAAGTTCCAGACCAATTCTAAAAGTGTTATGGGCATTAACCCATTTAATCCTCACCTGAACCCCAAGGAAACTACTATTATTATCCATATAATGGGCAAGGAAACATAAACAGTAACTTGTAACTTGCCCAAAGACAATAGCTACAAAGTATTGATTATCCATCTATAAAAGAAGAATATAAATGCCTGCCCTGCACCCATATAACCCAAGATGTCTTATAGGCTGTCAGTTCCTATATATTGGCAATGAATTGCTGTTTCTTTCTTTCTTTTTAAAAATCTGCCTGGTTTTTGAGACAGGGTCTTGCTATGCAGCCCAGTCTGTCCTCCAACTGGTAATTCTCCTTTCTTAGCTTCCCCAGGTGCTGGGATTACAGGCACAAACCACCAGACTCAGCATAAATTAGTATTTTTTAATCTGGAACCTTTACAATACTGTACAAACTTTCCATGCTTTCCCCCCTCTACTTATTTGGATGTAGGAAAGGTCTTTTCAGTGAGGCCTTAGGACCTGGAAAGATAAAAGAAATTGGTAACCACACCCATGTCCTCAGGAGTCTGGAAATAGTTTGGGGAATTTACTTTTCACTGTGCTTGTAAATAAAATATGTAAATATCAAAATAACAGGTTGTTCTCACTCTAGAGACAATCCGATGTTTATTGAAAGTAAACAGCTCATGCCTGTCATCCTAGCTAATCAGGAGGCAGAGATCAGAGGGATCAAGGTTCAAAGCCAGCTCAGGAAAATAGTTCCACAAGACCTTATCTAGAAAAAACCTTTCACAAAAAAGGGCTGGTGAAGTGGCTGAAGGTATAGGCCCTGAGTTCAAACTCCAGTACTGCAAAAAAAAAAAAAAAAATATATATATATATATATATACGCCTTTCCTAATAAACTTTATGATCATTTTCACCCTAAAATAAATAAAAAAGCAACAACAAAAATGCGCGGTTGTACAGTAACAGGGCTAGGGCTTCTGTTTCAAAGATGGCTTGGGTTGGGAAGTTAGTAGAGTGCTTGCCTAGCAAGTTAGAGGCCCTAGATATGATTCCCAGAGCTATAAAACGGTTTGCAAAGAAGGCTGTAGTTAGTCAAGGCCTGGACAGGCAGGCCCTGTCTCCTGAGATCTTGGCCCAGTGGGGAAGACTGCCCTCGTTACCGAGGTACAACGACGACTGTGCTTCCAGGATCATCAAAGAGATACTGTGAGCTCAAGGTCCTTCCCCCGATGCAGAGGGAGGTGACCACTCTGTCGCTGTGCCCACCTTGCCTTGTCCTCGTGGCGGGGGGCCTGGGGATTGGGCACTCAGACTCTGGAGACCCCGCCTCCGGGGCAGCAAGAAAAGGCTGGCCCCGGCCCCGCCCTGTCCCGCCCGCACCGCCAAGTTTAAGAGCCCTGTAGACAAGTCTCACTAGTCCCCAGCACAGAGTCTTCTCACTAGCTTCTTATGCTCCCTACACAGCCACAGACCGTCGCTACTCCGGGCTGCTCTCCCGGTGCCGGTCCCCATAAGGGTCCCGCCATGCCTAGCCCAGAGCCCCTGCAGCCCGCTCCCTTGGGAGCTCAGATCCAGCCCCCAGTGCCCGCGTCCCCAGAGCTCCCGCGCACGCCCCGCGCTTCCCGACGTCTCGAGTCCTCTTTCTCCGTCGAGGCCATCCTGGCGAGGCCCGATGCGAGTGCGCAGGCCGCCTCCCCGCCACCCGTCTCCGCCTGCGCTGCTCCGAGCCTCTGGACCGCTCCCCCGGGACCTCCAGCCTCGGTTCTGTCCTGGGCATACCCGGCGACATGGCTGCCCACTTACCTGAGTGTAGGTGTCTACCCGCTGTGTCCCCAGCCTTCAGTGCCGGTGCTGCGCGTGGCTCACTTCTGCGGCCTCCAGGGCCTCGGCGTCACAGGTACAGCTGAGCCCGGCGCCCGCGTGCGGGCTAATGGGCGGGGGTAGGGGTGTGTGTGGAGAGTGGAGGCCGCGACAGACAGCACCCAAGTATAGAAGTCCCCGACTTTGAGAGCCATATGCGGCTGGAGTGGAAAGGGACCCCACGAACATTGACTTTGTAGTTGAAACCGAGTCCTGAGATGGGATCTCACTGAGAAAGACCCCAATGCAGGGCTTGCCACACAAGCTGCTGAGCCGGGAGCCCGCGGGAGTGCGGGCGGGTGCGGGGCGGGAAGTGAGGCTGAGCGGAAGATCGACTGGAGGCCAACTCTGGGGCTGCAAGAGGACCCAGCTCTGCTATCGGTCTTAGCGTTCCTGGAGACCTCATTTGGGGTAACGCTTGGTGGTGCAATGCAAACACTTCCCAAAAGCAGCTCTCACCCGGAACCCACACCCTGTCTTTGCGCGGAGAGGTAGATGCTACGGGTGGTGCAGATCGGCGCTCAGCTGTTGTTAGGAGTGGCAAAGGCCCAGATCCCACTTCTGCCTGCGCGCATGTGGAAACTTCAACTCCACCCTTAACCGCTCCGAGCCTGCTTGCATGTAGTCCTCTTAGAATGGGCCCTAAAGAGAGCGCTGGGCACTTAACCCCAGTGTAAATCTAAGTGTGGAGGTAATTTTATCCTCCAGCTTTAACCAGGAGTTTTTGGCATTTTTGGCTGCTTGGTTCATGCTTCCCATGTCCCCAGGAAGAATATAGGGGCAAAGTTATTTTAAGCATCCCACCAAGCTCATTGTAACCCCATTTAGCCTGGTTCTAGTCCCTGACACCCCTCCATCCTGCCATGCATTAACTCCTGAACTCCCAGGCGGAGCTGTGCCTATCTCTCAAGTCACCCCTCTAAGCCCTCCACATACCTGAGGGGGAACTGCAGTTTACTAATTTACGTTTTAGTTGTCTCATTTTCAAGTTGGTCTTTGGGTGAGTATTACATCCACACAGTCTGAACTTCAAAATATATACTAGGATTTGTGCAGAAGAGTTTCCTCCTCCAACTGCCTAACTACCCACTACCAGGGGTGTTTTGTGCATATTTTATACCTGAATGTACACTCCCTCACACACACCCCCCCATCTGTTCTTCTCTTTTTCCCCATACATACACACTACTCTCCACTTTATTCTTTTCACGTGACCATGTATCTTAAAGATTTTAGTTCATAACTTCTTTAGGGCTGGCAGACTGGCTCAAGTGGTAGAGCACCAAGTGTGAGGCCCTGAGTTCATACCCCAGTACCACCAAAACCAAAACCAAACGCTCATCTTTTACGTCACGGAATACTCCATGGTAAGAATGTAAGCTAACTAATTAGGTCTCATTGGTTGTTTCTCATCGTTTGCTATTGTCTACAGTGCTACAATGAATAACCCTGCACGGAGGGTATTCCTGTACAGCTGGAACTGCAGGGTTAAAGAGTATATGCTCATGCAGTTTTGCCAGACTGCCCTTCACAGACCTCAGACCTCTTTTTACTTCTCTGTGGAGAGTGTCCCCTATAACAGCACCAACACGATGTTATCTGACTTTTGAAAAGTAGCCAGTCTGAAGGAAGAGAATAATGGTATCTCTGCATCAGTTCAATGAGGATTACTGTAATAGCAGTGAGATTTACAATTTTTTTGTATATTTAAGAGCCATCTGTATTTCCTTTTCTGTGAAATATCTGTTCGTGTACATTGTCCATTTTTCTAGTCTGATATTAAAATAATCCATTTGTAGAAATTCTTTTTATATTGGAAAAATTAGACTTTAGACTGTAATGAGTTGCATTTTTTTCCCTCAGTTTATTGGTCTTTTGACTTTGATTATAGTGAGTGCTTTTTGTCTTGAAGAAAATTGTGTTTGAATGTTTTAATCTTTTGTGTGTGTGTGTGGTGCTGGGGTTTGAATTCTAGGCCTTATACTTGCTATGCAGATGTTCTTCTACGTGAGCCACTCTGACAGCCCTTTTCTGTGATTGGTTTTTTCAAGATAGGGTTTTGCAAACTATTTGCTCAGGACTGGCTTTGAGCCACCGATCCTTCTGATCATTGCCTCCTCAGTAGCTAAGATTACAGCTGTTAGCCACTGGAGCCCGGCCCAAGCACATTACAGCCTAATTCCTTCTCCAATGTCCACAACTACTTCAGATTCTGAAACAAGGCAGGGGAGGCCAGGTACATGAGGCTGTATGCTTGCTAGGTTTTTCCTGGTCTTTTGTTCCTACCTTAGGCAGGCACCTGGTAAGCCTGGTGGGACCAGTGGTTGGAGTCCTGGGCATCCACTCCCTTCACTGAAACAGTCTGACTGCCAGCCCCAAGACCTCCCCAAAGCTAGCAAGTGCCTCTACCCAGAACATTCTCCTTCCAGATAGCCCAATGGCTTACTCTCTCATCCCCTTCACACCCTGACTCAGTACTGCCTCTGATTAATGCATCTTCAGTGGCTCCCGGCATGGTGAGCTGAACTGAATGTCTGTGTCCCTTAGAAAAGTGAATCTTGCTGGAGGTGTAGCTCAAGTGGTAGAGCATTTGCTCAGCAAGTGTGAGGCTCTAAGTTCAAAGCCCAGTACTGCCAAAAAAAGGGGGAGCGTGACATCTCTTCCTCCAGGCAGACACAGCACCTTGTCAGGGGGCAGGAATTGGCTTGCAGAGAGTGGGCGGGATTTCACACCCCACTCATCCTCTCAACTGGGTAATTCTGTGCAGGTCAACAACTGTATAAAGCAGCCCTGTTCAAATGTCACTGCAATAAGATGGTCACCATTTCTAAAGATGCAAATTACATCCCCATGCACATATACACTCTCCCCTCCCTCACTCCTCTGATTCCTTCTGCATCTTAGCACTTTTTGCTCTCTGACATACTAAGTGTATCTTGTCTGGCCTGTTTCCCCACTACTAAGATGCAAGTCCCATGACCACAAAGATTTTCTGTTTTGTCCTGATACCTGCTTGACGCAGAGCAGATATTCAAAAAGTATTTGTTGAATGAATGAAAGGGGCATGAAATCCTGGAGGTCCTTTCTCTGCCCGCCCATGGGGTTTCCTGGAGTAGAAAGGGTGAGGAGGGAGGAGGTTTGGCAGGGGCCAGAAGTTAAGCCACTTGGTTGGAAAGTAGCAGAGGCAGGAGTCTCATGGCATTGTCTCTTTCTCATGTATTTCTTTTGGGTTATTTCTGCACAGTCTCTTCCCATCTGCTTTCTTACTGTGTCATCTAGCCAAGAGGAAGGCCGGCTCATGGAGTGTGTGCATGAGTTCTTTCCCCTCCAAGAGGAGTAGGCAGGGACTGTTGGCTAACCCTACCCCTGCTGCTGGTTGCCTTCTAGGCTTGGATCTGGCTCACTACCCTGGCCTCTTGGGCCCTCCAGACTTGGCTCCTACTGAGGACCTTCAGGACACTGAGAGACACCAAAAGAGGGTTCGAACTATGTTTAACTTGGAGCAGCTGGAAGAGCTGGAGAAAGTGTTTGCAAAACAGCACAATCTGGTGGGGAAGAAGAGAGCCCAGCTGGCAGCCAGGCTCCATCTTACAGAGAACCAGGTGGGAGTGGGGACTCCTGTGGGGCCTGGGCTATGCCTGGGGATTGGGGAAAACAGTAACCTCTGGAAGGCCCTAAGTGGGGGACAGGAGGAAGACATGGGTCTTCCTCTGCGACAGGCTGTTAGGGAGACAGGCCCTAACTTTTTGCACATTTCCCTATGTAATGAGAAAAATACTTCCATTTGAAGTCATATTATAGGAACAACAGTCAATGTTAATCTCGAGCTTTATGATAAAGTATTTTCATGCTGAATAAGGAGCTATCAGCAAAATTAAGTAGGTATTCAAGAGACTAAATATTAAAAAAAAAATGTAACTATCCCCTGAGCCCTAGGTTCCCCTCCAGTTATTGTGCCATTTCTCTACTCTGTTCACAGGCAAACTTTTGAAGAACTTGCTACTTTCACTCTCTATGTCCTGACCTCCAGTTCACTCTTTAATTCATTTTAATAGGATTACTTTCCTTCTCATTCTATCAAAACTTCTCAACAAGGTCTCTGATGACCTCCATGTCACCAAAACTGACACTTTCCTTTTTTCAACTTACTCCATAATTCAGCAGCTCCCTGTATGGCTGAGCATGCCTTCCTTTTCTGAAATACATTGTCTTGGCTTCCAGACACCACACTCTTGGGTTTCCTCCCAACACTCTGGCTAAGTGGGTAGCCTTCTTTGCAGGCTACTCTTCTCTTTGGCACCTCAGTTTCTCTCCCCAGCTGGTCTTATCTATTCCCTTGGTCTAAAATACTGTCTTTAAACTAATGACTCCCAAATTTGTATCCTGAGCCCAACCTTCTCCGCTAACGTGCACATCTAGCTACCTTTTTGCTACCTCTGCTTAGATTTTTTAAGTGGCAAGCATCACAAACTTCAAATAATCCTTAATTTTTTTCTCCCTAAATCTGTTCCTTTCCTCACACATGGTTCTACCATTCATCTAGTTGCTCAAAATTTACTCATTACAGAATCCTCCTCCTTTTTCCTCACTTCCAATCATTGGAAAGCCATGAGGATTCCAAGATGGAATTGCCTTATTTCTCTACTTTGCTCCTAGTTTATATTCTCAGCTGTCACTGGATCACTGCAGCAGTCTTTCAGTTTCTCCCTTCATCCATCTTCACACAGAAACCAGATGTGCAATTCACTTCAGATGTAAACAGGACTATGTCATGCCCCACTTATAAACCCCAAAGTAACATTCCCTCCCTATGGCTTTCAATGTCCAAGTTCTGACCTCCATTGACTTCTCCCATCTCCCCTTTGTATTCCCCTGTCATTTGCAGCCACACTCTCCTCCTTTGTGATCCTCATACATTCTGAGTTTGGTACCAACTCAGAGCCTTCCTATAGGTGGTCCCTTGCTTCATCCAGCCTGCTTCTCTCTGTTCCCACCAGGCTGGCCTGTCATTCTTTGAGTCTTAGTGCTGGATCTTTAGAGAGAATCCCTCTGTCCAAAGCCCTATTCATATCTTTATTTGTGTTTATACATTTCTCATTTGTTTCAAGTCTCCCTCCACTAGACCATGAGCTTCATGAGGACAAGGACCATGCCTCTAGTGCTCACCACTATGTCTCCACCACTTAGCATGGCTCCAGCACAGTTACTCACAAGTATCTGTTCAGATGAGTGAATGGTGACTGAGATTATAGAGAAGGGCATTATAGAGGAGGTGCTTCCCTTAGCAGGAAGAGCAGATTTTTTACCAGACAGCAAGGGATGGACACTTTGGGATTTGAAAGAGGAGTGGGACCTGCTGGTCACATTCTAATGTTTTCCCACTGCCCCCAATTATAGGTGAGGATCTGGTTCCAAAACCGCAGGGTCAAGTATCAGAAGCAGCAAAAGCTAAAACTGCCAGCCACACCTGCCATTGCTGTCTCTCTGGATGAGCCTTCCAGTAGCTCCGACAGCAGCAAAGATGCTGAATCAGAGACAGACAACTGAGCACTGGGACAGAGGCCCTACCCACAATGTCTGGGGGCCGGGGGCACTCACTGGACCTGCCTATCCTACATCTCAATGAAGAGCCTCCTCAAAATCAAAGAGTACCAGATGGACTTGAACTGTCAAGCAGGGACCCTATTTATATATCAACCCCTGGGAGCAGGAGTAATGTAATGGTCAGAGGCACAGACTGTGGCTTTTAGCTATGTCCTTGGCTAAGTCACTGAACATATAAGCCTTTTATCTGAATAATGGGCTTATTAATAATGTATACTTCCAGGGGTGAGATGATGTTGGTAAAGCACTTGCAATGTGCAGACCAATGGTAAGGATGTTTAACTGTTAAGGCTTATAGGCTCCCTTATCTGTGGCAGTGGTAACTGTACCAGCCCTGCCTTCCCTATCCAGGCTGTGGATGGAAAGAGCCTCTTTTGAATCAGTGTCTGGATGTAAAAGATTTTTCCATACTGGAGATAGTGGGGTTGAAAGCAAAGAGGAGGGAAAGGTATATTGCTTATCCACATCTCACAGTTTCCCAAAATTTTGTTTTGTTTGAACTGTTACCACTCTCAGAAGGAGCTCAGGCCCTGCTGCCTCTTTGAAGCAACATGTTATCCTAACCACCATCTTTTTCCAGCTAGCTACCTGCTTTTCCCTCTCCTCATCTTTATCTAGAATAGAGAAATTTCACTCCATTTTGTCATAAACTCTGTTGTTTGTTCACAAAGTGGTTTATGTTTCCTCCTGTCTGACTTTGACTCATGGCTCTTTTTCCTTCCCAGGAGTCTGCTTAGTTTCACCTCTGACAGCCTACTACTATGAAGCCAGCCTACAGCTTTTCAGAGCACAGGCCACTCATTTTAGAATGGCTTCAGGGGCTGAGGTGAAGGGAGTGGGAAAAGACCTGCCCAATCATCTGGTCTCTAGTTTTCTGAGGGATGGGGAAGAAAGATCAGGCAGCGGCATCCTTAGAAAAAACCTTGCACTTATAAGGCAGTAGACACCAGGTGGCAGGCGTGAGGGGAGCAGGAGCCCAGGCTCCCTGTCATCAGGAAAATCTTTCCTGATGTTGTCCCCAAAGTCAACTCTATTAATCAAAGGTATCCAGCTACATTTGCCTCTTTGAGGAAATATTGGCTCATTTTAAAAAATCTATAGTTACTTACTTATTTAACAATTACTGGTCTCTACCCAATCCTCAAATGTCACCATGAGACCATAGACACAGACACAGGTCCCTTTTCAAGAAACACAAAGTCAGTTGGGAGACAAGGAAACAAAATATGGTGGTTAGGCCTAGTCTTTCACCTGCCCCAACAATACATCTACACACTCATTTCCGCATCTAATTTAAGACGTCCTCAGACCTGAAGTCCACTGTGGCCCGCTCTACCACCCCAGGCTGCAAGGTCCCTACACCTTTGGAAAATCTGAGAGGGGCACATATCCAGCTTGATCATTCATGGGACTGTCTGGATTCCGAAGGTGGGCTGTATGAGCCCCAGTGTATAAACTAGTCTTTCCCTTCAGGATGAGAGTCAGAGAGAATATGAATGCCTTCCACTGTCCCATCCCTACGCTGGGTCCAAAGACAGCTTTTCTCAAGACAAACTTAACTGTGGACAGAGAGGCAACAATAGACACATAACATGAACTCTGATTCAGACACATCAAATCTGTGTAAGCACGCATGAACTGTGTGACACTGGCCACGAAGTAACACACAAACCGCACAAAGACAGGTCATGAACCCAAGGGACTGAAACTCAGACCTGCTAGATCTCAAATCCTCCGTGCACGCCCACAGGCATGCGAAGGGGCGGGACCGCAGGGAGGCGGGGCCTCTCGGGTTGAGGCGGGGTCAAGGGTCAGAAGGCGGAGGCGCGCCCAAGATGGCGGCCTCCATGTGCGACGTGTTCTCTTTCTGTGTGGGCGTGGCGGGCCCGGCCCGGGTCTCCGTGGAAGTCCGTTTCGTAAGCAGCGCCAAGGTGAGACCAGGGCGAATCCCACTAGGAGTACCCACCCTTTTCGGCCTTGGAGACAGCCCAAGGGACTTAGATCCTAGAGGCCCCCGTGCCGCGTGGATGCTGCGGCTCAGCTCCTCGCGGCCCGGCGGCCCCTTGTCGTCCCCGTGCCTGCGGCCGTCACGCGGTGAGCCCTGGCCTCTGGAGCCCGCGTGCGTGCCTCCTCCCTGCGGATCCCCGCCCGCTTACCAGCGGCACTTCTGTGGCCGCCCTGGGCCTCCTGGCCTAGGCTGGGGGCATTGCGTCTGGGCGCCGGGGAACCGTGGCTGGGGACGTGCTGGGCAGGGGGAACTGACGTGTAAAACAGCATGCGTCTTCTGGAACCTTTATGAGTGAGATGTGGGTGGGAGGTGGGAGGATGAGAAGAGAGGGCAGGGACTCTCAAGTTACGATGGGACTTGAGGAGTGCTAAGGAACTTGGACCAGAACCCAAACGATGTGGGAGCTTTTGAGGGGTTTTAAACCGGAGACTGACATGATTTCGTCGTTTTTATTACCGTGTAGATTAAAAAATGCATGTAAGGAAAATAAAGACAAAAACCACTCAAACCTACAGTTGTGCATTAAGATCCATTTATTTGTTTATTTTGCGGTACTGAGGTTTGAACTTAGGGCCTCAGGCTTGCTAGGCAGATGCTCTACCACTTGAGTCACTCCGCCAGCCCTAAAATCACATTTTTAGAACTGCTATTTTTTGATGCAGTGGTGAATCTTTCAATATCAATGCGCCTATTTCTACATAATAATTTTTTTTTTTTTTTGGCTGTGGTTATTTTGGAGATGGGGCTCCAAAGCTGTTTGCTCAGACTGGCCTTGAACGGCAATCCTCCTGAGACCAGGAGGTCTCAGCCTCCCAAGTAGCTAGGATTGCAGGCGTGATCCACCTGAGCCTGGCCTCTTCATAGTATTTCATGGGAGGGACACATTTCACACAACCAAACCCTTATTTATGGGCCCTTTATATTGTATTTTTCACTTCCCTGTATCAAAGATCTTGGAGCTTAATTTATGTACAGACCCCTTTTGTTCTCTCCAGCACTATTTTCTTTCCTCATTATCTTTACCAGTTGAAATGTGAAAAATAATGTTGCTCTGTTCTCATTTACATTTCTTTGTGTAATAGATTGAATAATTTATAATGTGTAGTGGTATGGACATCTTTGATTCTTGCCCAAGATGTTAGCCCTGTAGTCATCTGTCTTCTGCTGTCAGCATCTTCATATTGATCCACTTTCCCAGTCCAGGTTTCCCTTGCCCTTGGTCTGCTCCAGAGGCATCTGGAGTGCTCCTCTCCTTCAACAGGAAGTCACCTTCCGTACATACTTGGTCTCCATCCCTTGTAGTGCCTCTAGAACTCTTGTTTGATGGGTGTCAGATCCATCACTTACAGTGATACTCATCTTTGCCTTCATTACCAACCGCACCAGTCCCTTCCTTTGTTCACTTCATTTGTCTCACTTTATTATGTCAGCTATTCTCCTCACCTAATTGTCCTTTCCTAGCCTTCTGTCAAGACCCCAACTGGTTACTTTCTCTATGTCTACACCTCATCTGCTGCTGGACAAGATCACATACCTACTTGGACTTGGTAACAAGGTGGATCATGCTGGGCTTTTTGCATGTAGTCATCAAAGTGAGGGGTTTGTGATTTTGTGTGTGTGTGTGTGTGTGTGTGTGTGTGTGAGAGAGAGATCTTGAAGTTACCACATGAGGGTTGTGCCTGGTTTAGGGTAAAATGAGAATTACTTATTCTTTGAAAGCTTGATAGAAGTGTTTCATGAAACCATATAAACAAAGGGCTCATTTGAGGTTATTTTCACCATTTTGTATTGCTTCTGTAGATACTGGCAGGAGTGGTTTTCAAATTTTTACTATTATGTCAGGGACACAAGTAGTTAGGACAGAAGACTTATCAGGTCCAGTGGGTGCCATTTGGAATGCCAAAGTGGTATACAATAGTCAGATCTCAGCATGGCTTAGTAGTCTTGACTGGGTTTGTCTTCTTTTTGAAATGTTTGTTATTTTTCTAGAAAATCATCATTTAATCAAGATTTTTTGTTTGCTACATGGTCTTAGATTTTTGTGTAATTGTTTCTTAAAACTCTTTCAAGTTGGAAATGGATGTATGGTTTCTCCTTTTTCTTCAGGTTCAGTCCTATCAATGTTGGCTTTATAAAAGGAACAGTGTTGGGATTTGAAATGTCAGAGATTATGTGGGTCCCTGTTCATGTTGTTTTGTCCCATAGAAGAAGGCTAAGCTTTCGTTTTGCCAAATTGGATCCCACGTACACAAGGTGTGTACATGGGGTTTCCAGGAGGATAGTCAAGGGTGTATCCATGGCCTTTCCCCTGTTTTTTCACCTCTCTCATTTCTACAGTTAGAGCTCCCAGAGTTATTCACAGGGTTAAGATTTGTTGGTTATGGGTTGCCCACAGCCTGTCCTGGTCTACTCATCTTTGCTGTTGAGTTTGGCAGAGGCTGAGTCCAGCCAGAACACCAGCAGGAAGCTACTCAGGAGACCATAGTGAGAGAGGACATTTTTCTGCTGTGTTAAGCACTTTTTTCCTCACACTTTGTTGAGGCAAGTATAGTGTTGGTAGAGATACCACCCCTCTTTTCTAAGTGAGCACAGCATTAAGTGCCTGGGCTCTGAAGTCATTTCCTGAGACCTTTTGTACACTCCAGAGATGGTAGTTCAGAGGTTTTTTTGTTTTTGTTTTTTTCATAGCACAAGTTATATTTCAAATGGACAAAAATTAGTATCATTTACAGTGTCTTAAGATAAATTGCCTTTAACTGGGAGCTTCCTTTCTAGTGCTTTGAGTCTATAGATGTATCTAGAAAGTGGACTATTATGGACTATTGTGGAAAATGAAGACAGGTAAATCAAATGCGGGCTGTAGGTTTTGATTAATTGTAATACTGTTCTTTGGGTGGCTGAGAAAGTTGCAGGTTCTCCTTAGACATCATCAAGTGCCGAAGCACCTGCAGGACAACAACTTTGATGCTACGTGAATTTTTTTTTTTTTTTGGTACTGAGGTTTGAATTCAGGGCCTCATGTTTGCTGAGCAGGCACTCTACCACTTGAGCCAGCCCTGTTTTGTGTTGGATAGTTTCAAGATGGGGTCTTGCCTGAACTGGCTTCTAACTGTGATCTTCCTGATCTCTGCCTCCTGAGTAACTAGGATTACAGGTATGAGCCACTCATGGCTGACAGTATATGACTTCTGCCACTTGGTTAGCACTGTTATGGCTCTTGAGTCCACCACTCCATTAGAACTATAAACTCTATTCATATTAATTTTTGTTATAAATCTTAACAAAGGGAGGTTGCTTCTGGATATTTATGTCCACATTGTATTTTAAGTCTGTATATTTGGTTTTCCTAAATTGTTCTTAGAGGCCCAGTTATCATCCCTGTCCATCTTGTAAAGGGTAATGTCTTTGTTATCTTCTACACCCCAGCTAACTGTGGCTTCTCCTACTCATTTTTGGCCTTCTTCGAGTTCTTCCAACAGTAGACGTTGCCAGAAACTTTTATTCCCGAGTTCATGGTGGCTGCCATCTTGTGTCACTGTCACTTGAAGGCCAGCCCCTTCTTCACACACAAACACACATATACATACACATATACCCTGTATCCCCGGGCCCTGGCATGCAGGTGCACCCACAGGTTGTTTTCTCACCATTCATCATGATGTAGTGTGTTAGATCAGAGCTTCTTAAACTTTAACATGCTCAGAGTCACCTGGGCAGCATGTTATGATGCAGATTCTGATTCAGCAGGTCTGGGGTGGGGCCTGAGACTCTGCATTTCTAACAGTGTCCTAGGTGATGTCCTTGTTGCCAGTCGTGGACTTTACATGGGTAGTAAGGAGCGAGCGTTCATGAGGTATGTTTGTTCACTTGTGCTATGTCAGTGTGTTCTGGAAACCTCGTGGCAGGTATTCTTATAATACTCAATTCTCACATGGGAAACAAGCATAAAGAAGTAGAGCAATAGGCTCAAGGATTTACAGTGCAAAGGTTAACATTAGGGCTGATTAGCTCATTCCTTTTAGGGCAGCCCTTGAACACTTGCTGGGTACCAGGCACTCTACTAGGTGCTGTGGGTACCCAACTGTTCAAGGAAAGGGCAGTTACACTCCCAGACTAACCTGGGCTATAGGGTTTCCCTGCAACCCTGAGCAGCAGCTGTATGGCTAGAATCCTTGATGGGTATGTGGAGGTCTGAGAAGTCTGATGTGCTGTTACAAGCACCCTGCTAGGAGCCTTGGCTCTGCCCTGGCCATTCCAAAAATTCTCTGAGTAGCGTGAGATGGTAACTTCGTCTCTGGCCCAGGCCTTTTCCAAATGAACTGAAAGAGGTGCAGCTGAAAGTGAGTCAGAGCCACCTTTCCAGAGGAGGCAGTTGTGGAGGCTGCTAGCCACTCTCCTTGAGCCCTTGGAGGTTTCCTCTGCTAAGAAGTAGTCATGTGGGTTGAAACTTGAAAGCCTTCTGAGAGCTCTTGGAACTATGTCTTCTGTCCTTCCTCTGCCCTCTTAGGGAAAAGGATTGTTTGCCACCCAGCTGATCCGGAAGGGAGAGACTATCTTCGTAGAAAGGCCTCTGGTGGCTGCGCAGTTTCTCTGGAATGCACTTTATCACTACCGAGGTGATCACATCTTGCCTCTCCTCACTGCTGCTAGGTCCAGTCAGTTTTGTGCATGGAATTCAGCTGCATACATCCCTACTGGCTTATGTCTCTGGGACTCTGGATGTTGGGAGGAAATGCTGTCTCCCCCTGGAGAACTGTGCCTGAGAACAACACCTTTGTCCACTCTTGGGTTTGGGACTGTGCACCTGCAGTAGGAGGCTCCTCCAATGTGCTTCCTGGAGAGGACTGTCACTCAGACAGAACTTAGTCTGTCCCCATAATGTAAGGGTCTGGACATCATGTTGAGGAGTCCTGTGCCAAAGTGGACCCCATACCAAAAGGCCTGTTCAGTGAAGTTAGGACAGAGCAAGAGGAATGCCCTTAGCTTTGCTAACCACATGCTTTTTCACTTTTCTTAAGCTAGAGACAAATCATGGAAGGAGGGTCATTTGGCTACAGAGTCAGTCTGGGGTTGTTGGGGGGGACCCACATAGACTGAGTCTGATTGAGAAGCACGGGGAGTCAGAAGGTAGGGCTGGGGGGTTCTTGAGAGATAAGGGGGTTATCTGTCTTTGGGTGCATGTGAAATCCATCCATTTCACTCCATTCATTAATATAGTGTCATTCACTTCCCATACTTTCATGGAGCAGCTACTGTGTGCCAGGTACCATTCTAGCCCCAGGGATACTGCTATGAGAAGGACACATGTGGCCCCTGCTCTTGGGACACTTAACATTGTAATGTCTGGCTTCACCCACAGCCTGTGACCATTGCCTTCGAGCACTGGAGAAGGCAGAGGAGAATGCCCAGAGGCTGACCGGAAAGCCAGGCCAGGTTCTGCCTCACCCAGAGCTGTGCACTGTGCGCAAAGACCTCCACCAGAACTGTCCCCACTGCCAGGTGAGCATCCCCAGGGAGTGCACTTGAAAGGGTGCAGGCAAAGAAGGCCTTAGTTGAAGTCCTCCCTTGGGAGACCAGAGCTCAGACAGACCAGGTCCTGGCCTTCAAGGGCCACATATGCTAAGACAATAAAAGAGCTTGGTAATTGTTCTGGTTTCATCCTTCCTGTCCCAGTTCCATTGTCTAGAAAATGGGCTTTGTGGGAGCTTGGATTCTTCTTGTGGGCCTGGCAGGGGATTCCCCCCGCTACTTGAAAAGCTTTCTTTATGTGGTTTTATAAACCTAGGTTAGGTGTTTCCCACATGCCCCCAGAGCAACCTGTTTTCTTTTCTTCTAATACTTCTGAGCTCCTGCTCAGGGGCTGTTGGTGGAAGGAATGCAGTTGTAAGAGGTAAGTATGCTGTGGGATATCTGTGCCTTGACCCTTTGCCTAGATAGATCCTAGAATGCTGACCTCCACCCCACTAACAGGTGATGTACTGCAGTGCAGAATGTCGGCTGGCAGCTGCAGAGCAATACCACCAGGTCCTGTGCCCAGGCCCCTCTCAGGATGACCCCTTACATCCTCTCAATAAGCTGCAGGAGGCATGGAGGTAGGTCACTTCCACTTTTCTTTCCTTTAGCATTCCCTTCCTACCTCCCTACCTGACTGTACTAAGCAGCTGTTGTCAATTTTCTTAAGTTACTAACCCTCAGATTTGTCCTTTTTTTTTTTTTTTTTTTTTGTGGTACTGTGGTTTGAACTGAGGGCCTCATGCTTGCTAGGCAGGCACTCTACCACTTGAGCCACTCCACCAGGCCTAAAATCATTTTTACTTCTTCCTTTTTAATTTGTGTGTGTGTGTGTGTGTGTGTAATACTGGGGATTAAACTCAGGGCCTTATGCTTGCTAGGCAAGTGCTCTGCCACTTGAACTGTACCCCATCCCCCGCAGTCCTCCATTTTTACAGTTAAACACAAGTCACATCATCCAACCTGTTCTGCCATCTTCAACACTTTACATATTCCCAGAAAGAGCTCCACTAAATCCCTAGAGAGGCAAAGTCTGCCTAAGTCCTGCCCATAACTTTCTCTCTTTGGTACTTGATGGAATTGGTACAAAGGTTTCTCTGTAGCAGTCAGACAGGGCTTCCTAGGGCTTAGCTACTAGGAAGGGAATTTGTAGGCCAAACTTGTCTCTGTTTCCTCAGGAGTGTTCACTACCCCCCTGAGACGGCAAGCATCATGTTGATGGCCCGAATGGTGGCTACAGTGAAGCAGGTGAGCCCACCTGACCCTCCTGGGGAAATTGACTAGCCTCATTCAGTCCTGGGTCTCAGTCTCCTCACCTCAAGGCTCTAGCTTGGATGCACTTGCTCCTAGGCTTTTCCAAAGAATAGCTGCTTGCTGTGTAGCATAGTAGGAGTATGCTAATCAGAAATCAGGCTTAGGGAATGGGAGCTCATGTAGCCCATAGTCTTTGATCTATGAAAAGATGTCTTATGCAGCAGCAATTCATGAATTTGATATATAAGCACTAATTTTTCAGGGTCATGTCTCTTACTTAAAGTGAGAGAAGCCACTTTAACCTCCTTCTATCAGTATTGTCCTTCCTCTACTTTTCCAAGTGTGTAGAGTTGGCTAGCCTGGCTCCACCTAGGAAAATGCTCCCTGATATGCATGTATGCATATCATGCATGGTCGCTCCCTGATAGCAGGGGCTTCAGAAACAGGCTGCCTGTCTCACAGGCAACTGCCAGTAAAGAGGTAGGTGTTCGTGTCCCTTATGTGTATTTGTCCACTGCAGGCTAAGGATAAGGACCTTTGGATCGGGCTCTTTTCCCAGTTCTGTAACAAAACAGCCAATGAGGAAGAGGAAATTGTTCACAAACTTCTAGGGGACAAATTCAAGGTTAGTCTTTTCCTATGACTTGTCTCTGCTGCCCATCTTCCCCAAGTAGCCTAGGATGTCTGTGGCTGTCAGTGGGGAACTAACTCCAAATTGGTCTCTTCCCCAGCTATGGCTACAAAAAATGAATTCAGAGGACTTACATTCCTGACACTATTTAACTTTGAGAATGAATGTGGACCTAAAATTGGGAAGTAGGGAAGCAAGGTGGTGACAGAGGAAGGTGGGGTTGGATGCTTTGCCCTGTGATACTCTACACTAAGTTGGAAGGCGAGAACCCTGCCAGAGAGTAGCAGTGGGCAAATAAGGTAGAGTGGAAAATGGAGGGCTGGGGGTTAAGAGTCAGGGAGTGGTATGAAACTGACATTTTACCGAGTTGTTTCCCAGTCAGTACAGATACCCACTGAGGATAGCACTGGAGCTGCCTGAAGGTGGAGGCAGCTATATGGAAGGGATACATACAGCAGGAAAGGTGGGCCCTCCTGCATTGAATTCAGAATAAAAGAGGGGAGAGCCAAGCTGGATTAGAGACTAGGAGAGGGGAGCCCCAAGGGAGGTGGTAAGGACAGGCTTCAGCCTTGCCAGTACAAGTGCTAGAAAATAGGGGGAAAAGTTTGGTTTCATATTCTGGGTTGGAACAGGCCAGTAGAGTGCCAGATCTCTTTGGAGATAAGGATTCTGTGGACTTCCTTTGTCCCCAGGGATAGCTCAGTCTACAGAGCTGGCTCCTTTCCCTTCCCTCACCTGACCTTCTGGGCCCTGCCTAGGTGCTAAGGGGAAAATCCCCAGGGATGTGCTCTCTGTGCTTCCCCTAAACCAGGGCCAACTGGAACTTCTGCGGAGACTCTTCACAGAGGCCCTTTATGAGGACTCACTCAGTCAGGTGAGTGTGGGGAGGGCAGGACCAATAGCCTCTGGGTCACTCCAGTTCTCTGGGAGCAGCTGGGTCAGCACCTCCTCCTGGGATTCTGAGCCAAAACCAACTTGGTCTTCTAGAGCTGGAATGGAGTCAGCTCTCAGAAGTCTTCCTGACCAGAGCTATATCAGAAAGAAGAACAGGTAGCTGTAACCTGAACTCTTACCTCTCTTTCTCCCCCATAGTGGTTCACTCCAGATGGATTCCGGTCTCTCTTTGCCCTTGTTGGAACCAATGGCCAAGGAATTGGGACCAGGTTAGGAGAGAATATTACAGAGTTATTAGGTTATCCCTCAGTGTTCAAGTGGGGAAATCGATGGAGGAAGGTAGCCATAGCTTCTTTCAAGAATGGGGTGGAGTTGGGTGTGACTCCAGCCAGAACACTGAACTGGACATGGTAGTGGAGAATCAGAATGAGGCTCTTGGGAGTCTTGGTCTGTTGGAGAAGATGGGAACCTACCCTGGAGAAAGAAATGGGGTCAGGGTGGGAGACCCTTCCCCCTGGGCTTAACTTGCCTGGAGGTGGAGAGCTCTTGTCTCTAACCATGGACTGCCTCGGAACTCCCCCCCACAACCCCCCCAGCTCCCTGAGCCAGTGGGTCCATGCCTGTGATGCTCTGGAGCTGAAGCCTCAGGACCGTGAGCAGCTGGATGCCTTCATTGACCAACTGTACAAGGACATCGAGGCAGGTTGGTGAGATGGGGCCGTGGCTTTAATTAACCTTGGAGACAGCCCCAATCAGATGGCAGACACAGTTGTTCCCCAGGTTGCTCTGAGTTAATGGTGGGGGAAGGTAATCCCTATTTGCTTGTGGGGAGCTTCAGATCTGTCCACAGGACATACAGATGAGAACTGGCCCTGAGATTCATCCAAAGACTTGGTGCTGGGAGGAGGGGCGTGCTGGACAAATAGGGCAATGTCATAGACAGAAGAGCAAGGTTGTCTTCAGAGAAGCAAGTTTAGGTAAAATGTAGGGCCTGGGTGCATTAGTGTGGTGGAGTATCAGTACAGAAGAATTGGTGCCTGTCCTTGTAAAGCCTAGTTTCATTTTTCTACCTGTAAAATGAGTAGAACAATATCTGCATGTTACTGTCTTACAGCAACCGGCGAGTTTCTTAACTGTGAAGGATCTGGCCTCTTTGTGCTTCAGAGCTGCTGTGAGTCACGGGACTAGGGAGGATTGGACCCCCATATTTCTACCTTTGTCAAGTGGCCTCATAGCCACAGGTCACCTTTCTCAGTTGGCCCTTTCTAAGCTGTCTGGATCAAGTTTGGAAGCAGGGTTAGGCCCAGGAGTCTTTGGGAATTCCTTTGGCCCTTTTTGCTCTATCATTTTTCATTTATTTATTCAACTGCTTGTGCTTTTTTTTGTTTTGTTTTGTTTTTTGCAGTGCTGGGGATCAAACCCATTGCCTCATGCATGATAGGCAAGCACTGTACCACTGAGCTACATCCTCAGACTCCTGCTTTAATAGCTGCTTATATAATAAAACTCTACAATGGGCTAGGTCCTAAGGAATTCATAGTGCTCTGCTTCTTGTAAAGGGAAGCATGATCTTCGTGCTACTAGTGCTCTTTAGGTTGTGATAGGGGAGCATTGGGAGATCCTAGGAAGTTCACAAGATCCTAGGGAGAGGGAGCTCAGGGCAGGAGGTAAGTCTCATCAGCCCCATGGGGAGGACCAAGGCCAGCTGCAACAAGTGTCTTTTCCAAATCTCAGCCTCCTGCCTCCTGGTTTCCTTACTGCATACCCCTCCTCCCAGGCTCCAGGGCAACTCTAACTCTCCCAAACTGTGTTGTCAAAGGGCCTGAGTCAGCTGTTACCTGATGTATAGTAGCAGACAAAACTGAGTTCACTGGTCCAGTATGGGCATCCCTTCAGAGCCCCTTCTCTTCTTTAGTGAAACAGTGGGAACATAAGTGAGAAGAAAGTTGGCCAATCTCAGGAGTTTGGAGTGGACAGTGAGTGGGAGTACATTTGTGCCTGTATGCTGTGGTTTTTAGGAGAGAGCTTTGGGTGGGCAGAGGCAGGAAATTTAGGGTCTCGTAACTGCTCAGCCCCACCAGGGTTCAGAGCAACAAAGGAAAGGACCTAGTGTGCTTTGCAGAGTTGAGACTTTTTTTTTTAAGTCAGTAGTCCTCATTATCTGCCTCTTGTGACCAGGCAACCACAGCTGTGTCCCCAACGCAGAGACTTCCTTTCCAGAAAACAACTTCCTTTTGCATGTCACTGCCCTGGAGGATATTAAGCCAGGAGAGGTGAGGAGGACCAGGACTCTGGAGGGTGGGCAGTGGGCCTTGCATGTTCTCCCAGGGATCTGAGTAGCAGATCCTTAGAGCTAAGCCCTTGGGTGGATCCCCGCATACCCCAGGGCCTGATTCTTTTTGCCCATGGGTATATTCTAATCCCACCTTAGTTCTTCAACATGAGCGCCAGAAAGCTTCAGAGTAGTATTTGAGGGACTCAAACTGTGTGCCCACATTCCTGTCCCCAGCCACCTTTTAGTTAACAGACCTGCACCTTCTAAGAAAGCAGTAGTTAGCTCTTTGTTGCTTTGGCTATGGGGGCTAGTATGGGTTGGGGTCCTGATGGTTAGTGCAGTGCCCAGAGCCTGGTTGAACCTTCTTCTGGGGCAAGTAGGATCACACCAAGGTAACCTCTGATCTCAGACACACGTTGTTGGAGCTTTGTAATGACCCACCGGCTAAGGCATGGGGAATGGATCAGGGGAGTCCAGGTTTTGCTGAAAGGCAGCACAGAACTGACTTCTGAGGAAGTGACCATGGCTAGAGACAGGGCAGTTGTTAGGGAGGCCCTGGTCCCATCTAATGGAGGGCACAGACCATCAGACTCATCTCTCCTCTGCCCCACAGGAAGTCTGTATCAGCTACTTAGATTGCTGTCAGCGGGAGCGCAGCCGCCACAGCCGCCACAAGATCCTCAGGTGCCAGTTGGGGACATGGTTGGGCAGCTGGGCTCTGGTGTCCTCAATCCCAGTGGCTGCCTGACTTCTCACCCTCACCTCCCCCACTCCCTCTGCCTACAGGGAGAACTATCTGTTTGTCTGTTCCTGCCCCAAATGCCTGGCAGAGGCTGATGAACCCAATGTGACCTCAGAGGAGGAAGACGAAGAAGAAGAGGAAGGAGAGCCAGAAGATGCAGAGCTAGGCGATGAGATGACTGATGTGTGATGTTTTCCTGTCCAGAAGGGACCCTGCCCCAGACTCTGCTGGAAAAGGGGACCCTTCCCCTAGAGAAGTGGCTTGGAAGGAACTCCCCACTCCCATTGCCTGCTTATCCCCCTTCCAGTGCTCTCTGCCAGAGGGCAGGACAGAGGTTGGACCCTGCATCCCCCACCAGAACTCATGCCCTGAACACTGCTGCTGAATTGCCTCAGGCCCTGTGCTGTCAGTGAGCCTTCCAGAACTGGCCTCCCCCTGAGGTTATTCCACCGTAGGTGTGAGGGGCTGGAACCAGGCTCAGGGCCTAACTGTTTTTTCCCCTTGGCTCCTAGGCCCACACTTGGCCATTCACCCTCTCAACTGGCTATTGGTTTATTTCAAGGGGGTAACAAAGTGGTAAACCTGAAAACAGACTGGTTTCATTGAAGCAGAAAGGGGAGGTGGTGAGCACCTCATCTTCTTTAACCAGCCACCTTGCACAGCTGTGGCTGATAAGGCAATAACCTGCCTTCTTGCCCAAGTGGGAAAAGCAGGAAGGAGGGTCTGGGCCTCCAGAGCACCTTCCCTAGACTCTGCCAGGGAATGCTGGACCATTCCCACTGTTTTGACATGGGGAATGTCCAGAATCTCCATACCTTGTGCCTTGCCTCTTGGGCCCTGGCACAATGGCTGTCCTCATGATATATGGAAGAGGCCTCTCCCTTCCTCAGGAGGGGTGTTTGGGGGACCATCTCTCTTTCTCACATCCTCTTCCCACAGGATTTCAGCAATATGGCTGAGACCTTGGGGGATGACAGGCCTGTACTCCTTAATTTAGGATGCTCTCATCTTCCCTGGGCCCAGCTTAAATGGGTCAGGGAGGGGCTCTTCTGGCCTCAAATGTCCACCTTTAATATCTTCACAGAGGAACACTGAAATCTTCCAGAAACCTAAAGGAGCTCGGCTAGAAAGATTAGCTATGTTTTTATCCCCTCCTTGTCACAAATGAGCATCACTCACACTTGGGTTGGGTACAGTGAAATTTAAACCATCACTCCCACTTCCTTCCTACCTGCCTTCCTTGAAGGACCTGCCACATCTCCTTACTGAGGGATCCCAGGAGGACAAGTGTCCACCCATCCCTTTCCTGGATTATGGAGTCAGGTGGTTCCTGTCTGGCCCCTGACCTATCAAGTTTTCACTTGCACAACAGCCAGCACCTCTCTCCCACCCCACCTGCTCACTGTTCTCAATAAAATGTGAGTGGTGTCAGGCTTTGGTAGCAATGCTTTGTGGAGAATGATGGACAGGGCATGCAGTAGTCATGTGGGTGGGTAGGAAAGGACACAGGTTAGACTGTGCAATGGGAGCAGCAGATGGGTGCTCCATTCTTCCCAGCTTGGGTTCATTCTGTTCTGCAAAGGCTACTAAAACCAGAACAAGATTCCTCTGAGGTCTGATTTTAATCCCCAGCAGTAGGGTACAAGATGAGTCTTTGAACCAAGGGGCTAAACTACAACTTCCTTCCTTTTGAATGGGGCTGTATTGGGATTCAAGACTAGCAGTCTGAGCACGTTTCCAAATGATCTGGGGAAATCATTTTCTGGATCTCAGTTGCCCTTCTTTAAAATCAGATGAGTGAGTCTGGAGGCCCTTCCCACCCCTGGGCATGCTTACTCTAAGACACAGATGCAACCCCGATGAGAGGCTTTATTGCTACAGTCAGTGAGGGTTTTATCAAGTCCCCAATCACCAGATCCTTAAGCCATCCAGCAACTGCTGTGAAGGTCACTATGAGGCGACTGGGAGGGGGAAGCTGAACCAGGTGGTATGTGACAGGTCACAGATGACTTGGGCTGCTTGCCTATAACTCCTTTTGTTCCAGATTGTAGCCCGAAGACCTGGGGCTTGGCTCTTGCTTCTTCCTGCAGCCACAGATATCCTTGGAGGCCATGGGGAAGGGAACGCCAGTGGTGAGGCTTCCCTTCCCTAGCCTGGCCAAGGCCCTTTTCCTCTGCCTGGCTTCACTTGTTCCCAGATGCTGTTACCACATTCCAGATAGCAGAATTCCTGGGTTTTGCTTTCTCAGCCCAGTGTCATTTATGGCTGGAATGTGGGATCAACTCTTCTACCAAAAGGTCCAGGGAGGTTGCAGCAGCTCAAACGTGGGGATACTGGTGACATTGACTGGGATGGAAATGATGGCCCATGGCAGCCCATGCTGTTCCAGGGAGCGGCGGATCATATAGCTGAGAGGGCATGAAGAGGTGGAGATGGTCACTTTCTTAGTGCCCCAACACTCCCCACTGCCCTTATTACTCTGGGAGTTCCAGAGCCTGAGAACTTTTTTTGCCCTCCAACAGAGGCACCCCAAGAGGAAGCTTGACCTCCCTGAGTGATGGCACCCAGGTGCTGATTGCCAGAGACAAAGAGGCCTTACCCATCTCGACCGAGCAGGAAGAGGGCAGGGATGTCAGCTGTGCGCTGGGTACTGTCCTGGATCATCTCCACATAGAAGCTGTCATTGTCAACAGCGTTGTCAGAGATGATCACGGCCCGCCCACCATGCTCCTGTACCACTCGTGTCTTGGAGAGGAAGGAGCAGCCCCTGGAAGAGGTGGTAATGAGACAAAACGAAAGGCAGTGCTAGCTACTCCTCCCCTAGAAGAATGAAAGGAAGATGATGGAGAACTTTTTATAAAGACTCCTAAGTACATATAGCTAAAAGCATTGACAATCCTAACACTTTTTTTTCTTTTTTGGTCAGTACTGGGTATTGAACCCAGGGCCTCATGCATACCAAACAAGCACTGGATACCACTTGAATCACTCACCAGCCCTTTTGGTTTGTATTGTTTCTGAGACAGGGTCTTTTTAATTTTTCTTGGGCTGACCTTGAACTCTTGATCCTCCTGACTCCCCCTCCTGAGTAGCTGGGATTATAGGCATGTACCACATGCATGACCCTTAAGGTATTAAAGACCCTTAAGAAGATGAATTATTCAAAAACAGTTATTTCAAAGCACCACCACCAGCCATGATCTCAGAATCTGCTGTGTCTGCCCTCCCCTTGTGGTATGCCTTCCCACTCCTTACCCCCTCTCCACTAGAGCGATCTGGTCCTGGATGAAGAAACCGTTGCTGAGTTCCCCACAAGCCTCTGGAGGTTCAGCAGGGACAAGGTGAATCTGCTCATACCTTGTATGCTGAAAAATGTATAGACATTTGGACAGAAGAGTGTAAAGAGACACATCTGCTTTGGCCTCTTAATTCTCAGAAATGCCTAGTTGGTTGTTCATCCTTACCCTGCCTTTGTGTGAGATAGGTAAGGGAGCTAGTTATAGGGAAAGAATGTGGGTACCTAGAAGAAGAGCTGGTAGAGAAAGCTGGTGCCCTTTTCATTATTTCACATCCCTTAGTAAGACAGCTTGCCCCTCCCAGGTGCCTGAGTCTACAGTACACTCAGGTTAATAGTTGGAAGCACTTCCTTTCTGTACTGCAGCTCCTAAAGGGTAGAACTGGATTCTGTTCTCTTCCCTGTCCCAGCACTCAGGTGAAGGAAAGGGGAAGGCTGAGGAGCAGAGATCAGGGGCACCCCCAAACTTACAAAGATACCACCAAAGTCCTTGGCAGGTGTTGCTGTGAAGATGTACCGAATGTCCCCGGGGCTCAGCACTTGGAAGTATAAATAATCATGGATGCGTAAGCCTAAAGGAAAAAGGTTACAGATGAAAAGCCTCCAGGAAGAAGTCTGGGTTCAGATCAGCATGTCTTCAACTAAGCTGGCTATAGTCTGGGCCGAGAGACCCAGCTTTAGTTGATTGGCTCCCCAGAGAAGGTGGGATAGATAGTTTCTGCCCTGGAGAGGACAGAGTTGATGTAGAGTAATTATGGAGGTTTTCATCAATTGCTGCTTACACAGGTGAGCTAGGGAGCTCTTGGGTTAATCCATTTTTTGCTCTGAAGTGAACATAAGAGTTTCAGAGTGGACATAAAGTGGCCTGGGCGCAACATTTGTTTTTTTCTCACTGGGAATTTGACTGTGGACCTACTGCCATCCTCCAATCCATTTATTGCCTCTTGTCCTGACTATTCCAGTTTTTTTTTTTTTTTTGGCAATACTGGGGCTTGAACTCAGGGCCTTGAGCTTGCTAAGCAGATGATCTTCCACTTGAGCCACTCCACCAGTGCCTGTTCCAGCTTTTTAATGATCTATCTGCTTTTATCCTTTTTTGTTGTTCTGAGGGGGGTATTGTTATATTTCCCAGGCTGGTTTCCAGCTCCTGGGCTCTACAATCCTTCTGCTCCAGCCTCCTGTCTACCTCCATTCTTGCTCCTTAAGGTTCATTCCCCCAATCAACCACCAGGGATCTTAAAATTATGACCACCTTGCCCCTACCAGGGCTTCAATACCCTTCAATAATTTTCTTTATACTTAAAGTCTATACCACTTGTCACTGTGGCCTTAGGGCTCTGCTTGATCTGACTCCTGGCCACTACTCCAACTCTGTCTCCTCCTTCCTATGTTCACACCACATGGACCTCCTTTCAGTTTCTTCATTTCTTTGGGTCTTCCTGTAAGATGTTCTCTTTACCTGGAAGGCTCCTCACTCCCGATCCATCTGCTCTTCTTCAGGTGGCTCACTTTTTGTCATCTTTCAGGTGAGAGCTTACCTGTTATTTTCCCGCAAAAACTGCTGCCTAATGGATGATTCCCCTTTCCTACACCCATTCAAAATGTACTTTTTGTTTCCCCTCCAAGTTATACTTTCAATTTGATATTATATGGTATTCATAATTTTCTAATGTCTGCTGCCTCCACCAGGACAAGGATTGTACATTTGCAGCTTTATTCAGTGCTGAGTCCCAGGTGCTCCACAGTGGCTAGGATATAGTGGGTGCTCAGTAAAGGTTATTGGATAAATGAACAACTATGTTGAGCTTCAATGCCCTGAGCATGAGAACTGCCAGAACAACCAGATTTTTCTGGGGTATAGGAATCTCTCTTCAGCATCAAGGTTTAACGATTTACAGGGACTTAAGTTCCTGAATTCCTTAGCCTGGAGAGATTTATAGAAGCTGTTGCCACAGGCCTGTTAGTCAGTCTAAGATATCACTGTTTCTGGGTTGGGACTGACTGTGGCTCTAGTTGTTCTTGTTTACTGCCCAGATCACAGCACCAAATAGAGCTCCATGGACTTGGCACTGGGTGTGAAGCCTATGCATCAGATACAGAACACCCCCCCACCCCACCCCACCCCCGCCCAGTCCCCCGGAAGCCTAACTGGTTTAGCATTAATCCCTCCTCTCCGCGCACACCCTTGCTTGGCCTTTTCGTGTGCTTATGCAAATAAGTTGGGGGTGTATGTATGTGTTCACGTATGTGTGTAGGTGTATACGTTTATGTGCTGTATAGGTGCAAGCAGGCCGTGTACATGGATGCTTCTGTGTGCGAGCTCACGTGTAGGAATGTGTGCTCATGTCTATGTATATGAATGTTCACACATTTCTCCAGATTGTATCTCCAGCTGTCCCTGTGCTCCTCCTGATCGCACCTGAAATCTCCTGAGTCCTTAGTGGAGGGGGGTTGGGGAGACCTGCTTCGACGTGGGTGCGGAGGACTCGGAACTCATACTCAGGTCATGCTCAGCTCATGGCCCGAGGGATCAGCACCCACTCAAACCAGCCGCCCTTCTCCGGACCTGCCCCACCCCGAACTTGCGGGGTCCCCAAGGTGACCTGTGGCCCCCGGACCAGAGACGCGCGCGAACTGGACGGCCAGCCCCTCCCCGCAGCACAGCCCCGCCCGTTGCCGCTCACCGTGGACCGCGAAGCACGCGGGGAGCCAAAGCACGAGACAACACAAGCCCGCGGCTCCGGGGACCATTTCCAGGGCCCTGTCGGGCGCCGCGTTTCCTCCGCCGTCCCGCCGCTCTTAGCTCGCCGGACTTTAGCCTGACAGCTGCTCCGGCCTCCCGCCCACAGACCCGCTCTCCCCGCTGGTTGGTGGACGAGAACGAAGTCTACGGTTGATTGGCTCTGACGCCTGCTCATGTAGCCGCATTTTCCGCCTCTGCGCCCTAGTCCACTTCCTATTGGCCAGGAGAAGTGGAACCGAGCGCTGATTCGCCTAAACTCTTAACAGCAACTGATGGCAGCCCCGCCCCCGCGTTTCTCAGTATAGATTTGAGTCTCTGGGACCTCGCTGGCAGTGGGCGGGTCTGGGAGAAAGGGTGAGCTGGTGGGCGGCTACAAAAAGCCGTCTTCAGCTACAAAAAGCCGTCGGCTTTTGCAGTGTTGGTGAGACAGATTCACATCGCTCGACGATGACTTGCTTTCTTCCACTTGTGCTTCCCTCCTCCTCATCCCCTTCTGGGAAAGGCGTATGTCTAGAGCCCATGTGGTCCTCCGTCCAGTTTCACCACTGTTGGCGCGCTAAAAGTATGTAGGTGCTGAGGCCGTGGCCTGATGCAGCTAACCCGCCAGGGGGCGCTGGCCAGTTTAGGCTAGTTTCCCGTGCCCCCACTTCGCTCCCGCTTGCCGTCAACTGGACACCGTTCTTAACCTCCCATGTGAAAAATGGGCACATTAATAATACCAACGCCGTAGGGCTGTGAAGGTTAAGCAATATTCATGTAAGGCGCTTATTGCACGCCTTCGTCTGGTATCCGGGAACAAAGGGGGATGGATTCAAAGTTAGTAGGTGCCGCGGCCAGAACAAGGACCGTCCGTCCTTAAAAGAGAAAAAAGACATGCAAAGCCCGGCGACCCGCTCCTAACAAGACTTTATAGCTAGAGCGTCCGCGAGACCCAGCCTGTGGCCGTGCTAGCCATACTGACTCCGTAGTAGCTAACCATAGAGTTGCGGAAGTGGCCCGTCCCCTTCCTCTCGCGGTCCAACGGCTTGACGAAGCTTCTGGGAACTTCTCTGGCGCGGGGCATTGTGGGCTTGCTGGGCGGCCCGGACACGGAGGACAGAGGACTGGCGGGCCGCTGAACAAGCTTCCAAGATGATGGTGAGTGGAGTCTCGCGCATCCATCGCCATCCGCCGCCATCTGGCCGGTGCTGTTGCAACCGGGCCGGGGTCCGGCCTGTAGGAGCCTCTCCAGCCTTCCGCCTCTGACCTAATCCCGACACCCTGCCTGTGGGCTCTTCCGACCCGCCGCGGCCTGGCTCAGCCCTGCCCAGGAGCAGGAGCGGTTGGCTAGAGCCCTACGGGGCTTGAAGCGCTGGTCAGTTCGGGGACTACAGGTCCCAGGGTGCTTCGGGGCCGCGGATCCACTTCGAGGACGCGTTTTTCGAGCCCTCAGTCTAGCCCTGTTGAAGCCGAGTGCAGGCTGGGCGTGTGTACGCGGTCGGCCGCCAGACCTGGAGGCCCGGGCAGCTCTGGGAGGTGCAGGATGGGAAGGCGTGCGCTTGAGCGCGCAGAGGCAGCGTGGGGATCTTAGGTTGGGCCGAGTCGAGCGCAAGCCGACTCCTCCACTCGTGCCTGAATCCATTCACTCACTCAGTCGTTAAGTAGATGCGTTTGTAGTGCTTTCTGAATGTACCAAGCACATCTCGATGCCGGAGATGCAGCCTCTCAGCCAGGAGAATGGGCAAGGCAAATGGGGACACGGCGTCAGACACGGGAAGATTTGGGCTCTGACTCCAGTGGCTTTGGATGGGTTATTCTGCTTGACTACCCGAGTCTCGTTTCCTTAGGGTAGTATGTGTGTATTAGTTTTACACTAACGTGAGAGTCTCCTGAAGGTTTACCTGTAGCCCTACCTCCCCCTTTCTCCATTTAACCTGCCTTTCAGAGCGGCGTGAGGTATCCTTCACTCTACAGCTTTGATGGTAAATCTGAGTTGCTGTTGAACAGGGTCAGCTTCTGTGTGTGTGTGTGTGTGTGTGTGTCGGAACTGGGGTTTGAACTCAGGGCCTCATGCTTGATCGGCAGGCGCTGTATCACTTGAGTCACTGCCAACCCAGGGCCAGCTTCTAATGTGGTGTTCTGTGGCAAAACCCTGTGCACCTGGCATTTCTTAACTTTCTACTCAGTTCTGTTCTCTTCTCCTGTTTTCTGCAACTTCTCCCTATCCTTATAAGTGTCCTTCTACCAAATGCCTTGTGAGTGCAGCTTGTACTCAAGGTAGAAGGAATTTGTACAGAAGCATGTATCTATGCTTCCTTCTCCCCTTCATGTCCTCAGAACTGCCCCCTTTCAGTTCATCTTCAACGTTACCTGTTCCTAGCTAGGCATGGTAGTGCATATCTGTAACCCCAGCATTTGGAGACTGAGGCTGGAGGATCATGAATTTAAGGCCATCCTGGGCTCCATAGTGACACCCTGTCTTAAAACAAAATTACCTGTTTAAGTACGTATTGATTTTGTGCAGAGACAGGATAGTATAGTGTAACTAGTTGAGTTAGGGCTCTGGAGCAATACGGAATGCCTATGTGTGTAACTCAGCTCTGCCCTATACTAGTGTGTGACTTTGAACATGTTATTTAATTTCTGGTCATTAGTCTTTTAGAAGGAATAGCAATAAATAATTGTTATAATGGACTCAGCAAATTAATAACGTGTAAAGTGTCTAGTGTGAAGTTAAAGCACTCATTAGATGCTGGCTAGGCTCTTGCTTGCTTCCTTTCTCCTAGTACTGCTATCATAGATTTGATTGGCTTTCAAAGAACTGGGATTAGAACCAAAGCTCTTCCAGGGCTGGGGATGTAGCTCAGTGGTAGAGCACTTGCCCTAGCATGGGCACTGCTTTGGGTTTGATCCCCAGCATTGCAATACAAACCCTTCACCAAAGGACTACAGACCAGACACCTGGGTTTTACCTGCTCTGTCAGATAGGCTTGTTTACCTGCTGGGTATCTCTCTCCTTTTGAAATGTGAAACTTCTGTCACCAGGAATCCTCCATGCTGTCATCAAATTGGTCTCTGATATTCTAGAAGTCTTCAGTGATGGAAAGAGGTAAACAGGTCCCCTGAAGCCTCAGCCCTGTGACTTTGATTCAGCTGGAACAGAATGTATATCTTTGTTTTTGTGTTGGTGAGCTGTGTGCCTTGGCATCTATCACCTGGTTTTGTTTTATAGACCATAAAGCGTAATGTTAAATAAGCCCTTTTGTGGAGGATGAAGTGGAAGATCTTTAAGCTGAAACTCCTAAGCCTTTTCTGATACCCTTGGCAGACAGTGGAGGATTAAAAATAGTGAGATTGAAAATAACTTGGACAGACCATGGGCTTTCCAACTCATTGCCTGCTCCTGGGAACTGGGAGGAGAGAGCCCATCTTGCTTGGCCTGGGTTGGCTCCCTCCAGTGCTCCATCCTTTCACTCCCCATTAGATCTCCTCTTCCCTGCCTGCCATTTCTGAAGGGCCTACAAGGCATAGAGAACTTGGGGAATATGTGGTCAGCTGCTTTCAAATCCTTGCGTACTTAAGAATTCTCAGTTAAAGCTAGTGTCACTCTATTGCTAGTTTCCCCCCCCCCAAAAAGTCAAGAAGTTGGTGCTTTTTTTTAAAATCTTTTGTGGTATAGAGTTTTGAACTCAGGGCCTTATGCTTGCTAGGCAAGAACAGTTGATTTTTTTGTTTTGTTTTGATGGGACTTGGGATTTAAACTCGGGGCTTCATGCTTTCAAAGCAGTGCTCTACCACTTGAGTCACATACCTCCAGTCCATTTTGGTCTCTGGGTATTTTGGAGATGGGTCTGGTGAACTATTTGCCCAGGCTGGCCTCAATCTGTGATCCTCCCATGTCAGCCTTGTAAGTAGCTAGGATTATAGGTGTAAGCCACTAGCACCTGGCTAGGAACAACTGAATTTTTAATACCAAAAGTTGCTAGATAATGCTTCATGTGTGGCAATATCTTGGTGCTCTACAAAGTAAGAGTATTATGGCCCTTACATTTGTGAAACTCATACTTTAAAGTGGATGGCAATGTAAAGGATGAGAACAAAGGAAAGTGGAGAGAATTTTAAGTTGCCCCGATCCAGATGCCCCTGTTTAGTGCCAAAGAGACAGTTTGGGCTCTGATGAATTGCTGGCCTGATGGCTTAGAAGTGGTTTTGGTAGAAAATTATAATTTTCCAACATAACAAAAGATGTAGCTTAGAACTGGATTACTTGGCTCCTTCTCTTCTTACCTCCTCCCAGTTCAAAATGCTTGCATCTTTTTCTTCTTTTTTTTTTTTTTGGTTATTTTTGGTGATACTTGGTTGAACTTGGGGCCTCACACTTACTAGACAAAGGCTGTACCACTTGTGCTCCGCCACCAGCCCTTATTTTCTTCAGTTATTTTTCAGATAGGGTCTTTTACTTTGTCCCAGCTGGCCTCAGACCATGATTCTGCCTGTGTGTCTTGGAATTACAGACATGCACCACCACACTCAGCTAATTTGTTGACATGAGGCCTCGAAAACTTACTGCTCTGGCTGGCCTTGAAGCATGATCTCCTCCCCATCTCCTCTTCCTGAGAAACTGTGATTATAGGCATGAGCTACGATGCTCAGCCACTTAGCATCTCTGAGTAGCCAGTGTTCTCTTAGATCTGCAGTTAGGCTCAACACACTCAAGCCTCAGCACAACCTTATTTGTAGTTTTAGCTTTTTTCTGGAAAATTGGCTTATCTTGCCCACTATAGCCACTCTGCTTCCTGTCATAACACTGCTTTCCCTGAATATGAAGAATCTGCATTTCTTGTGCTATGTCACTTTGTGGGGTTGGTACTTGCACATTTTTTATAGGAAGTCTGGTGGGTTTGGGGAACATGAACTATGATTGTGAGAGGGCTATCAACACTGAAGGAAAGCTTGAGGTGACTCTTACAGATGAGGGTACAACTTGGAAGTGGAAGTGAGAAAACATCTGCAAAAACATTGGACAAGTTAGCCCATTGGTGAGGTGAAAGAACCTGTTGGAGCTGCTTTAGGTTTGACTCAGGTTGGTTTTCATTGAAAGCAGAAGATTCTGTCTAGGGCAGAGGTAGGCCAGAGGAAATTCAAGGCTTCCCTAAGGAATGATTTAGCAGGACCATGAGAAGGTGGGGACTTTGGGAGGCAT